GGGGGCGAGCTCGGCCCAAGGCAGCCGGGCTGGCGGGAGCTGAGCAGCTTTGGGCCAGGTCTTCTTTCCCAGCCTCTGCAGAATCTCACTATAAACAGCTAGAACGCGTAGGAATGGTTCCCGTTTGCATCTGGGTAGTCTCCCCTGACTATGTTCCAGATCTGGCTGTGCTTTTTCAGGACAATCCCATTAAAAAGTAGAGTGGAGTACTGCACGGAGGATGCACGCAGGAGGGTATGGCATTGCCCTGCTAACTGCCCAACCTCAGGCTGCTCTGGGTTGGTGGGTGCGATCTGGTGTCAGGAAAAAGTGACTTCGAACGGCTTCTGCTGTGGAAGAGGTTATTTTGCATCTCTGTGCAGATACAGAAATCGTTGAGATTTTTTCATTATGTTTGAGAAACAATTATAATAATCAGAGCTCTTAAACTGGATTTTACACAGCCAAAGTAAATCAAATCAACTGGATTAAAAGCACAGGAATAGATTCTGGTTTGTTCATCATCAAAATCCATAAAAGAGAGATTGCTGCTTTAAAAAGCATTTTCAGGAAAGCATTTATTTTCTGTAGCATTTTGAACATTATTTAAAGTAGAGATTATTCGAATGAAACAGACTTTCACTAAATATACACTTGTAAAGCTTCCTCCTGTTTCAGTAGGAATGTGAACTTTTCTCAGTGTGGAAGGGGCAGGAGAAAGCAAGATACTTCACTTGTCCATCAGTGGTAACTCTGCTCTCATCCTTTTGGCTGGAGTTGTTCTGACTTGTCCTTCATAGCTTTGAATGCTGGTCTTTGTTAGTAACCATGACATTAACTTATTTTATGTGCAGCTTCTGAACGTATTCCTACAATCCTTTGTCTATCCACAGAATCTGTTGATGATACTGTTCCTGCAGCATTGATATAAGGAGAAGGATGATGCCATGGAGACAGTGTATTCCCAGTCCTCTGTGGTGACTAAGTCCCCTTCAACTCTATAAGAAAAGAAAATCTGGATCTCCGTACGGATCATTCTCACTATTTTTATCAGCTATGTATGTCCTAAATGTTTGACCCTTTCCACTAATTGTGCAGCTAATCTGTTGATCTGGTAACTTGGATAGTGTGTGTGTGTATATGTGTGTGTGTGAGAGAGAGAGAGAGGGAGAGAGAGAGAGAGATTTAGGTTAAATACACTAGATGTTAGTAAATGGCCCTTCTATTTAAAAGTGTTTGTTTGGTTACCTTGGTCCCTACTGTACTTTACATTCATTGAGACTGGTGAATTGATTTTTACAGCTTAATTTGTGAAAGAGCTCTAGGAGACAAGCAGTGAATCAGCCTATGTACACATGACAGATGTTTACTTGCTTAGGATGTGTTGATCCAGAACTAGGGGAAGGTGGAGAAAGCAAGTTACAGTGTGAAACTGTTACCAGTTGGCAGGTTTTTTCTTCGCAGAACTATTATTTTAAGACATTAACATTGTCTTAAAACCATTCAAACTTGCCAAAAGGGTGGGTAGCACAGCATAAAAAGATGTAGATCTCGCCTATTTTATTCAGTCACAAGTAGCATTATAAATAGAACTATGCATATAATAAAATACTGTAATGCCACCTTCTCTGCTGAGTAACTCGTCAGCTGCAAATCTGAATTCTCATTTGTTTTTTCAATGTTCACATGAATGCCTGAAGTGATTTAAAAGTAATCCCCACAAAAGAGAATAAAACATTAATTTTAAGTAGTGTACTAACAGTTCTGTTGAGCAGTATTCATTGTATGTAGTTGTGAAACACAACCGCAGATTTTTCATTATAACCTTATGTCTTTTTTAATTACTTGTCCACACTGTTTTGCCCTTTAACATTTCTAGTCTGCTGCAGCATTATGAAAATATGGCCATTAGAATGTGAGAGCTTTCTTTTTTTTTTTTTTTTTGAAATTTGGAAGTTTAAGTCTTAGTGAAACAAAACAGCAGAATCTTTCAGCATACTAGAATACAATTAATCTGAAACAGGAGAAGTGGGGATGAGAGCATGTAGTCTAAACTAATGAGTTGATTAACAACACTTTGGCAATGCAGTAGAGCTCTGATTTCTTATTCCTTGTCTTTAGTGTTTGGTATGTTAGAAAGCAAGATTATTAATGAATAGAAAGACATTTCTATAATTTAAAATGGCTCATTTGTGATATGTGCATCCTGACTCTGAAGTTGAGATTAGGTCAAGTTGAAATTCTGCAAAATCTGTCACAAGTTTCTTTAATTGCTAGTATATTTAAAAATATCATGATAACACTTCCCTACTCCATTAATTCCTTGTCTGCTGGGCCAGTCCTGCTCTCTGCACTTACATATGCAACCACCTTTGAAGTAAATGGAACTATTTTCTTGGGCAGGATTAGGAGACCATTGAGCTTACTAAGGAGCAATTTATGGTCAAAGGAATGTGAAGAGCCACTAAAACCAGTCTGTTCTTTTAAAACTAGGACCCTGTATGTAAAGTTACCCCATTCCAACCCCGCCTTCCCAATCTGATAGAAGGGGAGGAAGGGAACTGTTGCAAGCCCGTTTCTATGGCCACGCAGCAGCAGGCAGAGCTGTTTGTGTAGCTGGAAACCTGCTGCATCAGCTGCTGAAGGGTGAGTTCTCCCTTAAGCTTTGCTACATGATGAATGGTCTTATTAGCAACATTCTTTTGAATGCCACTAGGGAATTGTTACCTCATTAAGGGTCCCCTTCTCCAACAGCCCACGAGGTTTCATTGAATAACCAAACTGATGTGTCTCAAGTGGGATATCTTCATGTATTTGTGTTTTTTTATTAATATTTTCATATCAACAGTCCCCTCCCAAGTCAGGCTGTCTGTTTACTTCGTTCTGTCAGAGCAGATCTTGGATGAAAGTTTGTTGTGCCAAGAAATGTTGCAACTTCATCATCATTCTTCCTTTTCTTTTATGACCAAATATGGTATCCCCTAATATTTATTAATATGCTTTGTGCAGGCGCATTTTAAACAGTGAGCAAGATTTTAAAATCAAATATTGTAAAATCCTTTGAGGGGTAAACTAAGAGAACTTCCATGGAATTAAGTAAGGAAGTCTCTGCCCTTCCATGAAATGAGATGTGGTATTCTGGAGTTTCAGAAAGCTGCTATTTGCCACTACAGCTGTAGACACTGAAGTGACCCCTCTTACATAAGTGTATGGGATTTTTTTTTTTTTTAATAATACAAAGTAAAATAGAAGAACCATTAGCTCTACTGGAAGGGAAACAGATAAGTCTATAAGGACTGTCTGTCCTTCTGTCTGTCTGTCTGTCTGTCTGTCTGTCTCTCTCTCTCTCTCTCTTTTTAAATAATCATATTTCCTCTGCGCTGAGATGATTCCTGATTGTTATGTATCTCTTTACATGTTCCTTATTTGGTAGGATTGAATTGAATTTGAAGAATGAAGTCCAGCCTAATGCATTTGATTCCCCCAGTGAGTAGGGACAGAATAATCTCCCAGTTTCCCAAGGTAAGCATTCTTTATCCCTGTGGTCAGGGTATGTAGCACCTGTCATTTGTGGCTTTTTCCCATGTGCAAAGTATTTTAATCTAATGTACAATTTTTACTTGTTGCTAAAATAAGAAATAATTTAATGATTTGTTTGAGGTGAATGGGACTTCCTTTTCCCATTCAATGCTGATATCTTTAATAATAAGCCTGACTTCTTCCTTCAGCATCTGCAGAAAGTGATTCTTGCCACACAAGCATTATCTTCTAATCTCTACCTTGTTCTTTCAGGCAAACATTGATAATTACTATGCTTACAGAGTTACTACACAGAAGAGAAATGAGAACCATTGCAGATATTTAATATGCAGAAAAATTAATTAGATCTATGTAGAGTTTTTTGGTTTAAGAGTATGAGGCAATTTCCTCCTTTTGTGTGTGTTTAGGAACCTTAGTCATATGCAAGGTCAAATGCAGTAGGCACTGTAAAAATACAGATAGAAGAGATCATTCCTGTCCCCAAAGAGTTTTCTACTTGAAGTATAATGGAAGAGTTAAGGATAGGGAGGGACAAAGAACTGCCATTCTGTTTTTCAGTTGCTCAAAAGTCCACTTTAACGGAGTAGATATCTTTTCGTGCTTGATTTCAGCTCCATATTTTGTTTCTAATTTTAAGAAAATTACTCCAGTTATTTTAGGCAAATAGATGCTAAAATATATTTTCCCTTTTTTAACCAATACCTAATTAAAAACCAATAATGGAAACAGTGCTTTACACAGGTAAGACTTCTAAAAGATTTTATAGTAAGAATGGCATGTTGGTTGCATATTTCCAGATGTGTTTTTTTGTTTTGTGTTATATTACTGGGATAATTTAAGGTACTTATTATTGTACAGAATGACAAACAAATGTGTTTGGCTGTAGAACTTTAGCTAGGGGTAGGATGTTGACACTCTGAAAAGTGGTCAAATAATAGAGAATGTATTTATTGTCTGAAGGAGTATTTATTGAACATACCTGTGAGGCAGCTTGACTGCCTTCTAACCAGGCTATCGGTTTTCTTAAGCCAGGGTATCCCTGCGCTTGAGAAGCTCTTTGAATTAATCTCCTTATCTATCTTTCTTGCTGGTTGAACTCCTTGCAGAGTTGTTTTATCGTATCCTACAGTTTATCCTAGTAGCTGTTCTCTCCTGTCTTCAGTGGTACACACCTGAGGCCTGCCTGCAGTTCAAAGAACACTTCCATGCACGGGTCAGAACTGCCTGTCAGCAGAGTACTGGAACAGTTGGGTAAGTTGTTTTGTGGTGGTGGTTATTGTTGTTTTTTCTTAAGCACACAAAACTGAGTGTGCATTAAAGCAAATATTTTAAACTCTTCTTTGTAGCCTGCCTCCTTCATAGGCTTATCTTCATTACTGATCTTCCTCACTACAGTGTGTTTCACGGGAACTAAGCCCATGCACATGGCAATTCTGTCCTATTTGACACTAGATGGCTAAGGTGCCCCTTCTTCCAACAAGTTCCAAAGATACTTTTCCTGCTGGCATAAGTAGAGTTGATAAAATACAGGAGTTGTTTAGCAACAAATAGCTAAATTCTTAGTTTGAAAGGTGAACTGACTGCTTAAAATTAGTGTTGAATTTTGTCAGTGCAAGTCAGTATGACAAGAGCAGATATAAGGAATAGGGTAGAGGTAGCCTTGCTGTATTTTCTGTTGGTATCAGTACCTATTGAGTATGCCAAATTGGTAGTTAATAAAGCCTGAGGGGAGGGAGAGAAAAGACTTCACTGATGCAAATACGTGGTAGTTCTACTTTAAGTCATTTGAAGTACATAAGACTCTGTCTTTACCTTTTAAAAGTACACATGCTGAGAAAATGTGCTAAATGTTTCCTTAAAGCTGGAGCAAAATTCTGGAGTAAATATATAGCACTGAATAATCCAAATCAAATTTCTGATTTTTGCCTTTTTAGTATTCTTTAAGTTGTTTTTCCATGTCATCCCTCTCCCAGAACTGTTACTTGTGCTGATTTAACTGCTGAAGCAAGCTAAGCTGTGTTGAAGTTATCCCTATTCAGTTAAAGTAAATAGCTGTATGTTTTAGTAATAAATACTTCTGTGTTCCAGTGTGAAAGACCTTTCGTAAACTAAAGTGACTAAGAATACTGACAATTAGCTGACTGTTCTTCTAAATCTAGAGTTTTTAATTACCTTGAGGCTTCTCATGATATCTATCTTTAGACAGAACTTTTTATTCATTTTGCTAGGGAGTCTTGCTAAGAGCCAAAATATCGCTCCCTGAGAGGCATCAATGAGTGTATTGCTTTTTAGCAGCTCAGTCACTGTCTTTCATGTAAATCTGTTACAAGTGTCAGGACAATTCTGCTGGCAGAATATGCTTTAATGAATCAAAACTTTCCCCCCACCATAACAGAGACGTATTTGTTTTTTTCGGAGTAAACCATCTCCCCCAGTTCACTTAATCTGGCCGTATAGTACAGCTAAAAAGCTTTACATTTTAAAATTAAACCCCTTTCCTGTCACTGCTCTCTAGATATTATTATTATTATGTCTGGACATGATGATTATTTGGTGGAGGAGGAAGGGCTACACAGATAGACAACTATTTGGTACAGTAAATGTAAAACTTGTTGGGAATAACTGTCATCTTCCTTTTCCGTTATCCCAAGTAATAGGGTATTTCTTTGTCACTTGGAAAAGTAGTCTGAGCAACTCGGTAGCTAATGGTTGTATTTAAGACTCTCTTGATTAATGTGTTAAATTGTCTAATCTAGGAAGTTTTTTTTTTCCCCCAATAGTAATTAGTGGAGCATACACACCTAAACCATCACTTCCTTTTTTGCCTTTCCTTTAAGGTGGCCAGTTTTACTCAGTATCATATCAGTAGCAGTTACTCAGGCAGAGACATGTCAGCAACATAGGGGCCTGTGTCCACCATGTTTGCATTGTGTAGCACAATACATGCTTTCCTTTTCCTGAGATATTAGTCATGCAGTTTTCCAGTCAAGATTGGGACTATTTGGAATAGATAAATTGCAAACAGCATCCCATAGAAGCCTGATATAACCAGAGGTAGCATTCAATGGAAGATTAATGCCTTTATTTAAAAAGCTATTCTTTAATACAAAAGAATATTAAACCTCCTAAGCTATTCTAGTAGCATGTGCACAGGAGATGTCAATCCAAGTTTAGGTCAACAAGTACAGTTACATTCACTTATCCATCTATATCTTCTGAAAGTTATACTACGTTTCAATTTTAAGAATGCAGACTGAGTCACCTAAAGCCCATCTGCTCCTCTCTGTGGGAGGACCCAGAGCAAAGAGGATTACTTGCATGAAGCCAGCTTCAGATTAATACTATTCCAGATAGTCAGGAAATGTATTGGCTCTAAACGCTTTTTTGATTGTTTGGTTGACTTTATTTTTTTTCTCCCCCCCAGAGAAAATCTCTCTGTAGATTATTTTATTGTCAACTATTTCTTGTTCATGCACACAGAACTTGATTCTGTACTATGAAGGTCAATGAGAAACTTTTGATTAATTTTAATGGCAAAAGGATCTAAACTTGCACTCTTTAAAGGGCTGATAATGATGCAGATACTATCCAGCCACATGTGCAGACTCCCAAGCATGTATACTCACAGTCAAAGCCCTTTTAGTAGAAGGGAGCTTCTGCCCCACTGGCTTATATTTAAGGAAAAAAACATAAAAATAGGAAGGGGACTATTTCTGCCACAGAGGTTTTTTGGTGACATTCTTTTTCTTTCTGAAGATTTAGGACTCTGATCCTGTAGTGCGATGGCATTTAGGTAAACTGGAGTTGCAGATGCATGTGCTCACAATCACTGGAAGTTTAAGGATTTAAATCAGTATTTTTATGGTGAGAATATTGAAATTGTAACTAAAAATATTTAATGTTTTGAAACGTTTATTATAGGCTGAAGCTATCCAAGGTGGTTGTGGTAGGAGACCTGTATGTTGGGAAAACCAGCCTCATCAACAGGTATGGTATATCTCAGCAGATTCAATTCTACTCTTTCTCAGGTTGGAAGTGTATCAGTTGTTGTAGTGAGACTTTCAGTATTCTGAACTGAATCTAATTGTTTAGAACGTTTTCATTCCTCTCCATTCATAATGGGAACTTATAGTTTTTGTCTTATGTGTGTTTTTTTTTTCCCCTAAAATAAATAGAAGACAAAACAAAGTCTACAGTATGAAACGTACTCGGCATATGATCACAAAGTCATGCTCAGTCACTTTAGTCAGGTCTTCTGGGTAGCATGTGTTATATTCTGCAGTATTTTTATCTGGTCAAATTTTAGGTAATTCAATGTCTTCTTCAGAAAACTGTTTTAAAGGCTATACAATTAATCAGAAGGTGCAAAAAAAAAAAAAAAAATCTCTCCAGTGTCTGATTTGGGGTTTCATGTTTTTAGCCTCATTAGGAGATTTGTTCATGGAAATGTTTTTTAGATTATCCTGATGTAGGTACCTGGACTCATTTCTGTAGCTGCCAGATTGTGCAAAAGCTCATGTTTTTCCATAGCTTATAAAGTGAGGCAGTTAAATGGCAGAATGCTTTAAAGAACAGTTATTTTATTCTTCCCCGGATGCTAAAAACAGCTCTTAAGCTTTTATATCTAACTCCAGTGGAAGGAACATTGAATTTCTGTAGCTTATGCTTGCTCTGTCAACTTTCTGCCTGTGTTTGCATTTTCAGTTATTTCTTCAAAACTGTTAAAAATTTTCCCCAAAACTACTTAATCTCATTAAGTCCCTTAAAATAAAACTGTAAGATACTGTACTTTCCTTGGCAGTTCAAGAATGTTTTATTCTGATTCTCATCTCATCCTGAGAGCTTGCTGGACATATACTGAGTAACACAAAATAGAAAGCATGTCATTTTAATTAATTCATTTCTTAGTGTTTTTATATAGGCATCTGCAGTATATAGCCACTCCACAGTTAATTCTTTTCTTTACAATTTACCCTGGGTAGCACTAGTGCTGCAGTTATTTATAGCTGGGTGTTGCTAGTATTGTACTCCACTTTTTTCATTGCAGATTTTGTAAAGATAACTTTGACCGAGACTACAAGGCAACCATTGGAGTGGATTTTGAAATTGAACGTTTTGAAATAGTTGGAGTACCATACAACCTCCAGATGTAAGTTGTAACATGATGGCTAAGTATCAGGTAGAGTAAGTTATGAGCAGTGGTGAATTGCTGCATACTCTGGTGGGATCAAAGTTTTTTAAAAATTCCACATAGCGTAATGCAATCTCAAAAACAGTTTCTGCATTCAGACTTGCAGTTTTAGTTAAAAAAAAAAAAAAAAAGTCTCTTACATCTTTCATCCTTAGAAAATGCTGTAATCTTATCAATAAAAGTTCATCTTGAATGTCTTGGCCCATTTCAGTGGAGGTCTGCATTTTTTAACTGAAGTTTCTTGAAAAAGAGTTGGAAGCGTTTGCAACAAATTGTCCACTGCTACCCTTGCATCATTCTGTCCTTTGGATTTAGTAGGCATAGATAAGCATAGAACTTGGCTTTACTAGGTGTTTTATTCCTGCAGCCATTGAAATCAACGTCAAGGCATCCAGTGATTTCAACATCACCTAATCAGGGACTAAATTTTCCCCAAATCATAGAAAGACTCAAGTGCTTTTGTTAGAATTTGAACTTAATCTTTCTTTTTTTTTTTCCAGGATTTTTTTAAATCACCATCCTATTGGGAGTCCTCACTTTCTCTCATATGGTGTGGTTCTTCTGAAGGATGTCCTTTGTTATTTCCAATGGATAGTAGTATTCTGCAGAAGGCATTATTGAATCTTCTATGCTATGATGTGTGATCTAGAGCAGAGATAAGATGCATTGGGTGAAATAATTTAGTGCAAAAATATTAAAAGCTTTTCATTTAGAAACACATTTTCTCTGAGATGTCATTGCCTAAAGATGTAAATAGCTAGTAGGATTTGAAAAGTACCTACACATTTATTTCCTGCTAATTTCAGTGCCACTGTGTTTTTGAAAATTCTAGCAGGCACTATCTTCCTCTTTGGAACTTGAGCACCTTTAAAAGTATAAAACTAATACACTAGTGCATTGCCAACTGATGCACTAAGGTTCATGGGCTGTTTAACTTTGGCTTGGATTATCTGCAGAATCTTCAGTGGCTGTGTAGAACTTTAGTAAATGGTGAACGCTAGTGCCCCTTCTTGCTGAGAGGTTTCCATACAAAATAAATTTAAGGTACCAATGACTGGTGATACTATGCTACTTAAAAAACAAAAAACAAAAACAAAACAAAACCCCCCAAACTTCTGCAGTCGTGCCAGTAGCTGAGAGAACTGTATGTCATGTTCATTAATAAGAAGCAATTTCTTGAACCTTGAGTGATGCCATTAGTACCTGGTGGACTAAGCTGTAACTTACGTGTCCATGCACTGCAAATTACAGTAGTATCGTATCTAGCAATTGCAAGACTCTAGTATGGGCTAATATGTAATTTAACTAAATGTAATTTAACTAGTATTAGCACAGAAAATACATTTTTCAAAATTAGATTGCCCTAGAAATAAATACAAATGACATAGAGGCACTTTGAAATGCTTTAAGAAAAGGGTATTACCATGCAAAGTACATATACTTGAACTGATTCTTCAAGAACAATCTCCAGAATGACTGTTGTGGAAAAAAGGATAAAAACAGGGTTAAAATGTCTTCATTAAATAATAGAGCTTTACTGTATTTGTATCGGTAGTTAATGAATAACATGTTCCAGATGGTAACACTTCTCTGGTGTCACATTCTTCCCCAACTTGTACCAGTCTGTTGCTTCATTAGCCTGTTTACTCAGGATACACTGGGTTTCATTAACCTGAAATTTCTCTTTTTGCCATTGCACAGATGGGACACAGCAGGTCAGGAAAAGTTCAAGTGCATTGCATCTGCTTACTACCGAGGAGCAGAGGGTGAGAACAATATTAATTTGATCCTGGCTGTGATGTTATAAAGAAACATGCAATACCTATACTTATATATGGCCCTGGCAAGGTACCTGTAGATATAGTGTGGTATAAAAGATTCCCTCCTATCACAGGGGAAAAGGGACCAAACAACTCAGATATATCTATAGATAGATTGTTACACCTCCAAGCTCTGAATTTTCTGATGCGACAGAGATTAAAAATTGGCACTTGGATCTAGGGGGAAGAGGATTTGGGTTTGGGTAAGTTTCTTGTTGAAGTTAGGAGAAGTGGGTACCTTTGACACTGCCTTGGAGAAAACAGGATTTTTGCAGCAATTCAAGTGGTCCCAGAATAAAAGGAGCATGAATGCTCTAGATTGGAATACAGGTACAGACCAAATAAAGTTGAAGCCTGTGGACTGCAGACTTAGTGGTTACTAGAGAAGAAAGGAAAATGAGCAAATAGGTAGTCTCCTGTCTCCTCTGGTTTAAATATGTTGTTACACTTTATATTTAATCATGCTCCCTGTTGAACAGGGTGCCTTGAATTGGAGAGATGTTGGATACACTTTCTAACTTAATTACTTTTTTCTGTGTTGTCTTTTATTGCAGTTATAATAACAGTGTTTAATCTGGCTGATATCCAGACTTTGGATCACACCAAGTAAGTTTCTGGATTTTAGCTTAGCCATTAAGGCTTTTGCAGGAGGTTTAGTTGCCTTAGATAGCCTTTAGTTGCTTTAGGAGTCTGGAGTTGCCTGATAGAGGGCGAGGTGGATGGTGAGTGTGTTTTTATTGAGCTAAGAAATGAAGGCTGACAGTCAATTGTTTGGATTATTAAGAGTGGGATTTTTCTGAACAAATGCAGAGCATAAATTTGAACGACTCGCCCTTGACTTCCTTTATAGTCAGTGGAGAGAAAAAGGCACTTTAAGAGTTGGAGCGTTCCGAAACTGGAGAGGTAGGAAGACATGAAGCGCACCCTAAAAGTATCCATTTTTCTCCACTTGCTATAAGTGGAGTAACTGGCTGGCATCTAATGCAGATGCTGAAGTTAATGAGGTAAGTCTCATGCATAATGTCTCAAGAGTTTCTAAAATTCTAGGTACAGTGCTAGCCCAATTATTTTCTTTCTCTAGTTTCTGCAGATACTGCTGGGATATAGGCTGTCAAAAAGAGGAGTAAGGATGAAAAACTCAGAATATATTTAATGCAGACATAATTAGACTTACTAGTCCAGATAGCGGTAATGGTTTGGTTACAGTAGCACACTAACTGATATGAATAAACTTGCTCTGCTTTCAGTGCAGGCTGTAAAACCAATCTATGTTCCACACAGTTGTCTCCAGGCTGTTACTCAGAGCTAATATATTTCTAACATACTGTTATGACTGTAATGCAGATGCATGTTTCTCTGCACCCTGTACTCTTATGTAAAAGTATATTAGAATATTTTCTTAAAGAACTGCTGTGGTGCTTAGGTCATTAGCACAGGTCTTTGTAAAATAATGTATATATTAGTGCCTTTGCTTGGCTGAAAATAATTGAAGGCTGTGAACCTGATTCCCCACTGCCCTTCCCTCTGTTACTTGTGCTAGGTGACTCAAGAGCAACTTGATTGCCAGAGCAACAAAAACATAAAAGCTTATGAGACAAGAATCAAGCAGCCTTCCTAGGGAGCTGTTTTATAATCTTGCTGAATAGATTATTTTCACTCTTTATTCCCTTTCTTATCTAATCTGCTATGTCATTTATATTTTTTTCTTCTGCTTCTTGTTGTTTTTTTATTGCTTATCTCTATCAAAACTGATTTGGCCCCCTCCCTTTTACTGATAAATACCATCTCTGGATACTAAAATCTTAGAATTTGCACTGTACCGTGGGCATGTTTGACTCCACTTTTTCATTAGTGGAAGGCAGGTATTCAAAGGGGTTGGAATAGCTTCTAGTCTCTTTCTGTCCAAAAGAAAAGACCTTTGATAGCTAATAAGTTCATCCTCTCACTCGTTTTGTCACCCTGTTATTTGTCTCTTTCTCCTATATCCCTTAGTCCCTCTGACTGATTCTCATCTTTCTTCTGCATTTCAGACAGTGGCTGGAAGATGCATTGAGGGAGAATGAGCCAGATTCCAGCTTCATCTTTCTGGTTGGAACAAAAAAAGATTTGGTGGTAAGCAGATCAAATGTGACTGAGAAAACTGAATTTCCCCCAGTTCCTTAAGTGATTTCTCTTAAGTCATACACCGTGTTGTCAGGACAAAAACCTTGAGGGAAAAACCTAAATCGAAAGAAAGATCACAGATAAAGAGGACAGCCAACTTGGAACCAGTTTAAGAAAGCACTTTTTTTTTAAAAGTAGCTACTGAAATGTCCTTTTTCCAATTCCTTGCATGACCTTTTCCAAGGAGATATGAGCAAGTGAAAAGGCAGAGAAAAGTTGGATGCACAAAAGGGTGTGGTCTAAAAGTTGTTTTAGGGATGGCGTGCTCAATATTCAGGAACTGGAAAGAATTCGTACTTACTGAACGTGACACCATTTTCACAAGACAAGTAGGATATAATGCACTTTCCCTTCCTACATCACTTGTTTCTTGTGTTTGTCTTTCTCTAGCTATCACTGCTTAATTTTTAACGATTCTAAAACAAGCATGCTTCCTGTATTGTTTAGTTGTATTTTTTCAGCTGCTGCCTGTGGTGTCACTTATATTCTTTCACCCTTAGCCTTTCTATTTTTCACTGAAAAAAAGCATCCCAGAAAGCTGCATGTCTATCAGTTGTCCTGATACTTTGACTGTTGCTTGTATTGCTTTTTCTGAGTTGGAGAAAAAGCTAAGTATGTGAGACCTCGGAGGGCACAGATAAGAAATCTTATCTCAGCTAGAATTACTTTTCCTAGGTTTGATTCTGTTTTCAGAAGGATGACACTTTTAACTGGAAGGAAGGCAGGAGTAAAGCTAAAGATAGTGCTTTCTAGGTATTATGTCAGTGAGAAGCCAGTATCTTCCGAGCTGAATTCACTCTGCTTCTCATCTTGCTGTTATGTCATCCTTTCCAGACTTTCAGAATTCCCCTCAATTGTGCAGAGGTTCCCCGCTGTAAGACACCGCAATCAACATGTGCTGCTAGGGAAGCACATTACTATGTAAATGAACATCTGACTTAAATTGGAAAAGTTCAGAAACATAGATGTAAGACAAGCAAGCTTCTGGTGAATTATATTCTCTCTTACCCTGTCTCCTAACTCATGAAATGGTATATAGAGACTGCATCATTATGAGAAACTAAAGGGGCGTTAACTTTACATCTGGAAAAAAGGTAAAATGGGGATTAGAACTGAGGAACTTCATACAGAAATATACTTTAAAGTTTAGAAAGATAATTGCATTAAAAATAAGAAGTCAAGAGACATCAGGAGCTTATAACTTTGCTTGGTACATGCAAATCCATGATGTTCCTGCTAATAAGTTTTCTGCTGCTCATCTGTGTGACGAGTAACAGTTAGTGTGCCAGCCAGTAGTCACGTAGTATCAAGAAACTCTTGACATTGTGAGCCTACTGCTGTGGGAATGTGACTGAGATCTTGATTTTTCACGTACTTGCATAAGTAGTTATAATTTTAGAATTAAATACTTCATTGAATTCACCAGATCCAGGAAGACATGTTGGCATTTTACACTTTCAATGTATCTTTTTCTGCAGCAGATGATTTCATAACATTAGAATGTCTGAAAATTTATTTGCTGGAATGAAAGTACTTAGGATTTTATTGAACAAAATATGAGAGGACCTTGATCACATCAGAGCTTTAAGACGTTGCTTGCATCCCTTCCTTAAAGTGAATGCACCATGAACACCAAGAGGGCTTTCAAAGCTGTACTTCATAACTGTTAGAAAATAACAAACAATTTGTTATTAGAACACATATATAGAGAAATCCTGTATATAAAAATTCAATTCTGAATGAGACAGATTAAAATGGATTGTAAGCAAAGCTTCTTGCTTTTCTGTTCCTGCCTGTTGGGTCCTTTTCTTCAAGTTTATTCTCAATCCAGCAACTTTTGATGGCTTCTTTTGCTGTATCCATTTTAATTCTTTTCTGTCTGACCTCCCGAGAAAAGTGTCTTTCTGTCACCTCTGAAATTTGTCTGTTTCTGTGTTCCTTGCTCTTTCTGGAATCACCAAGTTTCCAGTTTGGCTTTCTAAACCAGATGGCACTCCAGAGACTACATCTGAGTGTATTCAGTTGCTTTTGGGGAGTGTATTCAGTTGCTTTTGGGGAGGAACATCCCTTCTCTTTAGTAGGTTTCTCTGATTAGGCTATAGCAGCCAGGAGAAAGCAAATGGACAGCTTTACTTTCTCTGCTACCCAGCTGTTGCCATTTTAAGAAAAAATATAACAATACACAGAAATCTGTGCAAACAAACAGGATAGCTACCCCCCCCATTATAAAAAGGCTGAAAATTGTTTTCTGTGATCAAGCATATCAGTATCTTGTTATTTGGTTTCAAACAGGAGGGGAAAAAGACCTAAAGAAAAAGGTGCAAAAAAGCAAAATCCCCTAAGGGGAGGAGAAATCTTAAGTCTTTAAAAAAAAAAAAAAACCACACACACAAAAGAAAATGTAAGAGAGAGTAAAAAGAAGAGAGGCCATTTTGTTACAACATGGTAAAAAATAGATGGATTAGAAAAAGAACTGAGATGGAGACAAAGATCAAATCCAAAAAACCACTGTGATTACTTGGTCCTGTAACTCTTACGCTAAGAATGATACAGTGACAAAAGGTTAAAGATCGGGAATGGGGCTATGTCTATAGCTCTACCACACTGCATAGTTAGATACAGTGGTTACCCTTGTTAGCTGTTGTTTTGCTTCAGTACTGTGAAAGATAAACGGAGGCTTGTATTTTAAAAGCCGTACTGTGTACTTTCCCTTCCAAATACTTAGATTTTTTTTGCACTGGTCCTGTTTTAATGCATGTCTCATTGCACAAACTCCAAGACAAGGCCAGAAAGGCCCCTGTGAAAACTGGAAGCATCACAGTATAGGTGCTGGCAATCCTTCTGTATTATTACTGGGCTAGATACAGTTCTTATGTTAAAGTTATTCCTTCTTGTTTACTTAGTCAGATGCTGTGTGTGAAAGGACAGAGCTAGATGCCATCCGCTTTGCCAATGAGATGCAGGCAGAATACTGGTCGGTTTCAGCCAAAACAGGTAAGTTACTGCAGAAGATAAGAATAGTGTAACCTTAAAGGTTCATGTTAAGGCAGGAGGAAGTTAAAGTTCTCTCCTCCCTGGTTCCAGGAATGCAGGTGTTTTGTTGCATTTTGAAACGAGGTTTATAAATGGGTTTTTTTTGAGTATCTGTATATATGCTTGCGCTGTCATGTTTACAGAAAGGAGTACTGTAGCTGCTATGCAATGTCTAAGCACGTTTGTTTTATGGATAGTTGTATGAATACATGTGTGTGCACTGCTACTCACATTAGGAATAAAAGAAGTTTATGCTACAAACTGAATTCTCTGTTGCTGACTAGGAATAAAGGATTGGCTACAGTGTACAATATTCCAGAGTAAGGAAATGAGATATTCTCACAGTGATCACTGTGATCAGAATGGAAGAGAGATTGTTGGGGACTTCTCAGTATTGAGCAGTGGTCTGTTCACAGCTGTGTTTGTTTCTGTTTGATCATGCATTGATGTATAGCTGTAAAAAACACATCATTTCTATCCTGTTTCCTAGGGGAAAACGTCAAAGAATTCTTTTCCCGAGTTGCTGCTTTGGCCTTTGAACAGTCCATGATAAAGGAGCTGGAGAAGACCAGTGGGCACGTGGCCCAAATTGGGGCAGGAAACCTCATCAGTACGTTAAGTTTTGCTTCTTGTGTGCCTTTTCCTTGTTTACAGTACAGGGGAGGTTTCTTGAGCACTAAAGCCTGTCTCACCCACCTGCAACCTCATTTACTTCAGTGTCTGCCTCAGTTCTAGCATGTAGAAGCGACTGGGACTGCATCTTGCTTTTGTTACCTTATGGTGTCATTTCTTGTGAATTAATTCAGCAACTTTTTGGTTTCTACAGAACTGGAAAAGAACTTGATGGAAATCCCAGAAGGCAATACTCAAGCCAGCCTGAGTTGCTGCTAACTGACTTCTGCAAGTGCCACGCGTCTGTGTACCCCACCACAGCACACCTGCAACAATGAAAGCTCTCAAACCAAAGTAGAAAGTTTTATTTTTGGAAATGAGGGAGGAAAAACTTATCGAAACTTTTTTTCTGAGACCCTTGCTGCTGTAGGCTCACTTGTGCTGCATGGTGTGATTGTTACACAAACCTTTCTTTATATAGTGGAAACATAACATCTTTATCTTAATGCAAGAAGACATTGCCGGTGACTTGTGTTTACCTGTGTGCTAGATACACTTGCAGGAAAAGTTATGTAATCTTAGCATGGTGGGTTTTTTTGATAATTCTCTAGAAATCTTGGATAGTGAAGTGCTATTCATATGGGAGCAGAAAATAAATGGCAGGTCAGAGTAAAGGGTGCCATCCGTAGGTTTTTACTTTTTAAAAACAAGATCAGATCATTGCATACTGTTACTCTGACTTGCTTTTAGGCACTCCAAATATATTAAAATTGTTCCCAAAACATTGTTTTTTTTAATAAGGAACAGCTATGGAAGTCACAGATATGCAGAGGACATAGTGATTCCTCCAGCCATGAAAAATCTGGGGTTTTTTGCCCTTTCCACTTGAAAGTCAGAGCTCAGTATTCGCATGTTTGCAGGCTTGTGAGAAGTCCAAATATGAACCAGTCCAGATATTGTTTAATCCCAGCTGTCTAATATTTTGAAGGTAGAGTCTTTTTGTAGATAGGTAGAAGTATGTAAAATGCTACTGGATAGGAATGTTACTGTTTTCTGGTCTCCTGAATAAGAAGTAATGGTCACATAAGTGCATGGTAGAGAAGAATTAAACTTCATGTATTTCATCTTCCAAAGAGGATACAGAACCCTTCTCTATAGTCTGATGTTCATGAAGCTTGTCTCTACACTGCAGTTCTAGCTTCTTGCTGAGAATAATTACTGACATCTCATTCTAACTACATTTTTTGTTTGTAGTATAATGTAACATGATTGTGGAACCATGCTACAGTCTCAGTTATAAACTTGTTCATGCCTCTCTGGTAGGAACTCTGAGCTGGTCAGATTGCATTCAATACTGTTGCTAAAGTAGTAGTTACTCTGCTCTTACTGGACGCGATCATTTGATAACTTGATGCTGGGGAGCAATTTGCTTCACAGCTTAATGGAAACAATAGTAGTAAAGAAATAGTTTAGCTATTTTGTGAAAAGTTTTTAAAGTGTGTCTGGATTTAGAGGGATGGCAAAAGATGGAGTTCTCCAAAGTAGGCACATATGCTTGTTAAGCCCTAACAGATTTGCCTTAGGAAGATGTCATTCCTGAATGTTTATTGTAGAACCTGCTGTCTGGACGTACTGCTGCGACTTAGTATGCTGGCTGGGTCAAGAAAAACATTGCCCCAATTCTAACTGCTCAAGTATCTTTTGACATAACCTTGTACAGTTCTTTAGAAATTACAATCATTGTTTAATGAGGAGAGTTTAGTTCTTAGTATCATTGAATTTTATATAAGTAAAACAGCTTTACATCCCTCTTCTGCTATTTGGGCAACAGTGAGTGATGACAGAAGACTCTGCTGCTTTAAGAGTCGCACCTGCTGATTGAATGGAAAAAACATTGCCAGAAATCACTGTAATAAACATGTGATCAGTATTTGTGAGACCATGTTAATATAATTGATTTTGATAATTAAATTTCAACTGCAAGAGTACAGAAGAAGTAGAAAGAAAACACTGGAAAAATCAGACAGAGGGAAATAAAATGTGTGTCTCACTGGCTTTTACTGTTCAGTTCTGAGTGCCCAGTTGGTGGTATTCCTCTAAAAGTAAATGAAACTAAATCTTCTACTTGTACTATATTACATAAATGTATGGCCATTCAAAATTATTATAAACACTATTTAAGTAAAAGAGTTACCAAAAGAATTCAGGTGGGACAACATAAAGACTGCCTGTTTAGAAATCTTTACATCAGCAGTTTATAGCTCTAAAACTGAAATCCAGCATTATTTGTTATGCTGGCATAAACAAGAGTGTAACATCTTCTATAATGCTCCAAATTGCATACTGCAACTATTTTAAATGGAGAGAGAGAAAAACCTCTGTACAGTTATAAGTTACCAGTGTCTTCAGATGTTCATTCAAGCATTACAGAAACCTTAGTATCTGGAGAACTGATTATAACAAGACCTGTCACATTTGAGCTGCTGAGAAGATAAAAAAGGTCATAGAAAGACACTTGTTAGTAAATCTACATATCAAACTGAATGTTCTAGATTCTCAGCTGTTTTTTCCCCCAAATTGTTTAATCAGAAATAGAAAAAAGTAGGGAAATGATGTCTTAAACATCCTTTTTATTACTTTTCTTTTGACTTATGATGTAAATTTGAACAGCTTCACAGCTTATAATGAATACAGATCTTCCAGGAACTCTATATCTTTCTTTATTGGACAATCTTCTCTTTGGCAATTGTGCTAATTCTGTTGGCAAAGACACAAATGTAGCATTTGGTGGAGAAGATGAATGTGTGTGGGTATGTGAGGAGTTATGTGTAATATTTTGACCTTATGATGTTCTATGTATTTGTTCATCTCTCAAATCTGTTTCACAAGGATGATGAACATACACTCCCCTTGTACCATGCTTTCCACTGAGTGGGCAGCTTAGCCACGGTCTTTGCGTTTACTGAGTTTGAATGAGTGAGTAGAAAAGATGGTTCACTCTACTGCAGCATATCGTGTACATGTATAAAATATTTTACGTTTGTATAATGCTTTTCAGAAGCAATTTTGCAGTCACGGTGGAACCACATAAGCACTGCTGACTAGTGTGCTGCAGATGAGTACTGCTAACCTCAGCTTACACATAGATAAATGGAGGCTCATGAAGGTAGCATTTTATTTTATTTTTTCCTTTTTTGATAAGGCCTTTATTTCTCATAAGGAAAACTTATTTCTGAAGCAATGTGAAACTCAGAATTTTGTATCTTGTTTTCATCCCTTTTTTCCAATTAATTTCCGAGGTGAAATTAAAGACTTTATTGTAGGAGGAAATTATTCTTAAAATAGTTATGATTCTAAAATCGGACTTCAAGGCTGTGACCGTACTACCTGTCATGAATAGGCCTGAGCCTGGATTTCAGCCCAAATTTTCCTTGCATGCGTATTTCTTGGACAAAAGCTGATGCCTTGTCATGCACTTTGGGCACACCTCAAGCACATCAGAGGAGAAAACTTGGGCGCCCACTACCAATTAGTGTCATCTTAAGCACAATATTCCACCTGAAGGGTGGACAGGTTCAGTGCAGCTGTGGCAGTGCTAGCTCAGCAGACCCTTTACCACCTACACCCATAGTGCGTTCTGGCAATTTTGCATGGCTGTTGTTGAGCAGACAGGCTGGGCTGTCTCTTTCCTGGAAGGGCTGATAAGGGTCCTGGTTGGCGAAGGTAGGTTTTACAGGATAGCATGCATAATGCAGTTGCCTAGGTTAGGTGCTATACTTCAGTGCAAAGATAGTGCCTACAACTGCAAAATGACTCAGTAAAAATTCTAAGAAAAGACATCAGGACTCCAGGATATAACTTTTTTTCAAAAAAATACCCCAAAATGTTGCTTTCGTAGCTGAGCTCCTTTCTTATACAAAATCAGTGATGCAGTCTCTTCAGCGATGCAGTCATGTTTCTTGGAAAATCAAATGTGATGGTCTTTTTTTCTAATAAAGAGACATTTACAGCTGCCAGAATACCAGATGTTGCAGGAAAGGCAATTCCCTTTCTATATACGGGGAAGTCTAAACCATGAAGCAAACAGTTACCTTTATTTTCTGTTAACAAATATGATTCAGTACACTGCTTGATGTCATTACTGGTTTGTATCTTCTGTAGTTCCAAAAATTTCATGCATAAAAGTGATGGCATAAAAAAGCCTGTCGGTCAGTAACTATCACTCGGAAATGATCTGACTCCATCCAGTCTATGATGGATGCTGTGAGGCTGTTTTTTAAGCCCCACTGAGACTACCCCAGCAAAAAGCTCAGTATTAATAATTGATCATCTAAAATGAATCTGAGATCATGTTACAATTGATGAATTACTTAGGAAAGCACAAAGGAAAGCTTCTAACTTTGGTGGAAAGGTAAACATACTATTAATTTGCAAGCTCGTAAATTTTTATATCTGCTGTATGTTTTGTGCATGTCCATCAATTCTATCAGCTACTTTATTTGCTGTGAAGAAGCCTTAATATTATGGAAAACTGTGTCAGAACTGTACTAAATCTAAACACAGATAAGTTAAAACACAATTTTCATACCAGTTGCTGAAGTCCTCGCAGTACTCATGGCAGCAGTCATTGCCAGCTTCCTTGGGGAATTTGCTGCTGAGAAATTGGAGAGGGTGAAATTCAGAGATGCTCTGAAGCAAAGTTAAAGGGCAAGTGTAATAATATCCCAAAAGAAGTACTAATGTTATGCTGTTCCCTGTCTTAATAAGTAGAAGCTAATGTGCTAATGAGTTCCTATGTAAAAAAGTATGTATATCTCTGGGAGCAGAACGCCGTTTAAGAAACAGTCAGCTGGCAGGCGAAATTAATTTTTACTATAAAGCCTTTTTTGTGATGCTTCTGCCTTTTGACTGATTATTTGACACTTAGAATATTCTGTTTTTATATTCTTATAGGTCATGAGATCAGATCTCTCCTGTTGGTTCCCAGTTCAGGCTCTTCTCGCTGAGCTACAACCAGAGTTCATTCTTCTTGAGTAGACCTGTCCCGGTTCTGTATCTTTTCAGGCTTTCACCAATAGTCAAAGCTTATTCCAGGGAGTACAGTATAACCCGTCGGTGAGTGAATGCTGTAAACTGTATCGACCTTGGAGGATGTGAATTAAAAAAGGAGTGTTTGGCTTGTTGAAATTGTAGTAGACTCCGCATTTGGTATTGGAGATGCCAGATTAGTTTCTTGTATTTTGATCACAAGGTTGCTCTCACAGTGAGCAGCCTCTGCTCTCTGATCCCTAAGAGGGGGTTCCTGCTTTCCTGGCGTCACAGAATAGTTATGTTGGAAGGGATCTCCGAAGATTATTCGGCCTTGTCAGACTCTACCACAGAGCTCTGCCTTGTGCTGCAAAAACATGGTTTCTTAGTTTCGGCTGCAGATGAATCAGAAATAATGTTTTATTTCTCTCTAAAAAGACTCTGCTTTTGTGCTTCCAGTTTTTCCCCACAAAACTCCTACCGGTTCTCCCGTGTGAGATCATGCTGAAGAAACAGTTCATAACTGTCAGCTCCAGGGTTTTTAGGGCTGGGGAGACTGTCCCTTCTATCCCACAAGAGGGAGCTCCGTGGTCGTGGAAATACTATTTCTCCTGCGGCTGGGAAGGGCCTTGCAGTGGCTGGTCGGCCGGCAGAGGGGGTGTGCTGGGTTGTCTGGCTGTAGTTGAGCCCCTTCACGACATTCTCAGTCTCAGCTCAGATATGTATCTACCCCCGTAGCCTTAATGATATTTTATATGCTTTTAAAATAATACTGTACTAATGCATAAAGTATCAGCAGAAGTTCAGAGACTCATTCAGTGCCCGCTGGGATTTCTAACACTCTAGTACCTCAATAGATGCAGAGGGTACGATTGTTTAATGGTGTTATTCATCCGAGTTAAATGCGCACACAGAAGTCCGTCCTCTGGCTCGTCAGAATTCTTGCTGCCTCCAAAAAGGGGCACGGATGGGAAAAAAGTGAGCCCAAATTGGGGGGAGGACCCTTTGCTAGAAATAAAAAGGAATCAAAACTGAGATTTGATTAAAACTGATGTATGTATTCAAAACATATCCCAATGATATATCTGTCATTATTATAATCCTGCTAGTACAGTCTTAAACCCCGCATTACTAGAAATACATGTCACAACTTCATTGTTCAAACTGGCACAGAGGCAGAAAAAAAAATAACAGCATCAGTGGTGAAAAGCCATTTACTTTTTCTCTGTGAAAGACAGATTTCTTGGAAGATTTGTAGAGGTATTTAATGAATACATAGCTTTTATTTTTATTTGGATTATAATATGTTTTCCAGATAGAGCAGTCAATGCCCTGTATGTGTTAAAAGCTGAGGAAACAAGTGCAGGAAAAGAGGTTAAAACCAGGAAATGAACGGCAAGCAGAATCTACTATGCAAAACTGAATGCAAGATTAGCCATTTGTGGTATGTCTGAAAATATTTGAAAAATATTTTTCATCTGACATATGAGAGCCTGAAGAGGAAAATGCTTTAATGGATTATGAAACCTTACATGTTTGGAAGGTACTCCTACTCCTGTGGATTTTTCATCCTAGAATTTAAAAACACTTAAGCTTTGAGATCCTGTAGACTCAGGGAATTACATTAGTTATTGCTGGGATGGTATCTTACCATCTTTTCTAGTAACATATACCAGAAAATATATACCTCACTCTGATGGTATGTCCCACCTCAGACATGAAAAAAGCAGATTTATGAGGGATTTGAGATGTACATATTGATACTTTTTCCCTTGTCCAAACAGGACAAGTTGGAATTCCAGCTGTATTTATTATCACTTTTCCAAAGGTTGAATTAGAGCATGGAGAGGATACAGGGGCTTAGGCAAAGTCATATACCTTGATTTGAGAAGGAATAAAACTCAGTGGCTATGCTTCTGTTTAAATCGTTCACCACCCCGACCCAGAGCTGGGGCCTGAAGCGCCTAGTTGTCGACAGGGCAAAAGCGAGACTACCAACTGAGCAAAGCAGGTGGTCATTAATATCATAGCGATGCCTGAGTCCCAGTTGCCCAGCTCAGAAATCCAGCTTGTCGTTTCTGGCGAAGGCTGACAAGGCAGGAAGGGTGGAGTGAATGACAGGCCCTAGTGACAAACTGCACCTGACAGGTGTGGGGGCAAATGTGACTGCTGAAGGGGTGAGCTACAGCAGTGCCTGCCCGGCAGCGTTGCTCCGAAGACGAGGGTGAGCGCAGAGATGTCCTGGTGTTCGCGCAGTCTGGGAGAGGGTAGGTGTATGGACCTCCGTGGGCGCAGGAGGCACACGCGTGACTGTCTGCCAAGGTGTCCAGGCCTGCGGCTGCAAGCGGGCGCAGCCGTGAGCACACAGGCACTTGCAGCTCGGTGCCTTTGTCTCGCCAGCAGCCGCCTCGGAGCGTGCCTGGGGAAGGGCCCGCCGCGCGGCCGGCACGCGCAGCGGGGGGG